CCCTTTAAACCCCAAGCCATTACAAGAAGAGAGGGTTCACTCAAAGTTGAAGTTGAATAGCTAATAAAAAGCAAAGGGAAATGTGCATTAGGGGTAAAGATAGGAAAGATTTTAAATCCAGTTAAGAAACTGGACTATTTGGAAAGACACAAAAGTCTATTTTAAAACACCCATATTGTGTCTGCACGGGTGGAGCACCTTCACGGTCTAACCTAACACACCTGCCCCATCATTCCTATTCTAGGAAGACAGGGTCTGCTTGGTGCTGCGCAGGGGCAGAGCGGCTTTTGCCTTGCGTTCCCTGCACATCCCAGACTCATCAATACCATCAGGGTTATTGAGCCAGCATGGCCGTATGCCTGAGCAAACTTAGGCCTTTTATTTCATGCAGTTCCTGCAGCTAAATCTTTTTTTTCCTTCTCTCAACTTTTATCTTCACATTTCCAAACTTTGGGGGAATGAGGTTGGAGGATCACTTGAGGCCATGAGTTCAAGACTAGCCTGAGCAACAGAGACAGATCCCATCTCTACAGGAAAAAAAAAAAAATTTTAAATATTAACCAGGTTTGGCATGCCCCTGTTGTCCCAGCTATTCAGGAGGATGAGGCAGGAGGATTGCTTGGCCCCAGGAGTTCAAGCTTATAACGGGCTATGATTGTACCACTGCACTCCAGTTTGGGTAACAGGGCAAAGCATTATGTCTAAAAAAATTAAGATTACAAATTTTTAAAAAATTAAACCTACAAAATACTTGAAAAAAAGTGTAAAGAGCCACTAACATCACCCAATTTCACCAATGGAACATTCTCTTATGTAAATATAATGCCAATCATCCTCCCAGCATACTTAACATTGATACACTAGTATTATCTAAAATAAACCCCAGACTTAAACTTCCTCAATTGTCCCTGGAGCCTTTTTATTGTCTTTTATGACTTGAACAATTTTGAAAAGTCCAAGCCAGTGTTTTGCAAAATGTCCCTATAATCTGAATTTATCTAATTGCTTCTTTATAATTAGATTCACGTTAAAATATTTTTGCCAAAAGTATGACACAGATGATGGTATGTGCTTGCATTGTATTGTATCAGGAGGCAATGATGTCTGTTTGTCTTGTTTTTGTGGAGTAAAGTTTGATCACTTGGTTCAGGTGGTAACTGCCATATTTCTACTTTGAAGAGATATCCTTTTTCATTGTGATTTTTTTTTTCTCCATTTATCCAAAGGTTTTAACATCTATTAATGATTTTTGCTTTGTTGCACTGGTATTAGCAGAGAGTTAATTTGTCTGATGTTTTCATTCCTTTTGTATGCATCAGATAGAACCTTCAATATCGGGTCTTTCTGACATTGAAGCTCATACCTTTTTTAGTACACGAGCTACCTTTTTAATATGTAAATAAATAAAGCTAGTCATCTGAAGCTGCTAACAACATTTTAATTTATCTCTTGTTTTGGAGATCCATTATCTTTCATCTTGGCAGAACTGAACTCCTTCTGTAGGTTTGAAACCTGCTTTAAAAATCCCAAGACTATAGCACCCACAGAGCTGTTATTTTTAGGGCTCACACGTGAAGGAATGTACTCGAAAGAGGTAGACGATGTTCCTATCAGTTTCCCTCTCTCAGCATCACTGACATTCTTCCGCTCTGTAGGGGGGGTCCAATTTCGCTTGACTGATTTACCGATTGATGATTTCTTGTGTTTGGTGTAGAGGGGGGAGCATTGGAATAAAAATGTCAATTTGGGCTTTCTGTTTGTTTTTAGTGGCAAAGCTGGCTTGAAGGGTTTGGTGAAGCTACTGCCTTTTTCCCTGAGCCGAGATCCTGGAATTCCCTGGGTTGAGGAGAAGGTGGAGTCTGCAAAGCAGCCTTATGGAGACCTTGACCTTACCACTTCCAAGGACAACTTACAGACCCAATTCTAGTCAGTCAGTGCCACGTGGGATGACTAGAGGGAGCAGGGGCCCTACAAGCCTTGCTGGCTGCCAGGACGTGAGTACACAGACACGGCTGATCAGAGAGGAAGCCCAAGATAGAAAGCCCAGGTACTTTTCTTTCCCAGTACCTGCTTTCACTGAAAATGTCCTTGCTTTAATAAAATTAGTGTGGCTAGATTCCCACGGGAAAACACACACAGAGAGAAACCCTATTCTACCTCTCTCCCTTCTCTTTGTTATATTAAGTGGCAACAACTCCTCTAATCACTAATAAATTCAGGTTTACAAGTCACAACAGCAGTACCAGGGTTAGGCTGTGAGTGTTACAAGCACTTAAAAGGACCCCCAAATTAAAACAAAAAGTATTCTCCTTGTTTGCAATCTTTGTACTGTTTAACATGACTATTTCGACAGCCTTTATTTTCCAAACATGCAAACAGGAGAGAGTGATCTGACCCGCAGCATATTGACATACCATCTAGCTATAACCTTGAGATAAAAAGTAAAGGAAAAAGTCAAAACAGCTGCTCAAACCAAATACTAATGCAAACAAGCCTTTCTTCACTCTCAACCCGTTCCCCCAATATCAATGGAACAGACTAGCATTAACACTCACGGACAGTGGTGGATGCCCTTGGAGCCATCCTTGTGCCGCTGCCGGGGAATGGGGAGCCCAAATACAAAGCAGAAAGTCTAATGTGTTAACCGACTATCTGGCAAAGACGTATTACCATATGTATCTGCTCTGTGCCAGACCGGGTTCTAGTTGTTGGGATATCTCATCTATTTAAGGGATGTATAAAACTCGCAAGGTCTCTGCCCTTGTGGAATTTATCTAGTGATGTTAGAAAAAAAAAATCGGAGAATATAGCCTACAGTATTGAGAGGAGATAGGAAACAGCAACGGTACCAGAAAGCATGAGCTGCTTTCCTGGATTCTGTATATCCAGGAATGCAATTGCCTCAAAATCTGGGTCAAACTGTGAAATGACTATTAAAGATAGAAAGGCGGGGAGAGGCGGGAAGCAGAGAATCAGAGAGAAGCTTCTCTTTCCGTCACTCGAGGGAGGGTCCTTTGGACGTTTTTACCGAATTGTTGTTCACGAAGAGTTAAACATAATGTTTATAGATGATAAATTGCAGAGCAAGTCTCCATCTCAAAAAAAAAAAAAAAAAGCCAACCGTGACTGCACCTTCGTCCCACGCTACAAGAACCCCAAAGGTGGAATACTCCAACTTAACAGTGGTGATTTTCTGAACATCCTTGGTAGGCTAAGCTCTGGGCTAGCATTTATGGTTTTAGCTCATTGAATCCTCTCAATCAAATTCCTGATGAGATAAACACTAATTTTTATTCCCATTTCTCAGATGAAGAAACAGACATAGAAAAGTAACTTGCCCTTACTCAAGGACACAAAGCTGGTAGAGAGTAGAACCAGGATCATATCACAGCTCCATCTGACTCAAAATCGATGTCCTAAACCACTATATTGCATTTATAAACCTATGTTTCATCATTTTATTTCAGTAAAAAGGAAAAAAGTGTTAATGTTAAATAGAAAAATTAGTCAGATAGCTCCAGAAGGTGACCTGTGTTTTTAAGATATTACCTTGGAACAGACACCCAAATATATCCCTTCAGTCAAAATCAAATGACACCATTTTCTCAAATGCATGCAAAAGTAAGAGATGACTTGTCACTGCCTAAATGTACCCAAGTTCAATATCTCAAATTAGAATCACGATTCAAGAATGAACGGGGATCAGCATTTGATTCAACTGATAAATTACTCCTCAAAGTTTTATTTTATTTTACAACTGCATACATTTCCATCATCGTACTTTATTTGAAAATTGAATTAATAATAAAATAAGTTGACACTGGTTTAGTGAAAACAATATAAAACTCCATAAAAAAGTTCATGCTTGCCGGGCGCGGTGGCTCAAGCCTGTAATCCCAGCACTTTGGGAGGCCGAGGCGGGTGGATCACGAGGTCGAGAGATCGAGACCAACCTGGTCAACATGGTGAAACCCCGTCTCTACTAAAATACAAAAAATTAGCTGGGCACGGTGGCGCGTGCCTGTAATCCCTGCTACTCAGGAGGCTGAGGCAGGAGAATTGCCTGAACCTAGGAGGCGGAGGTTGCGGTGAGCCGAGATCGCGCCATTGCACTCCAGCCTGGGTAACAGGAGCGAAACTCTGTCTCAAAAAAAAAAAAAAAAAAAAAAGTTCATGCTCATTGGGCCGGGCGCCATGGCTCACGCCTGTAATCCCAGCACTTTGGGAGGTCGAGGCGGGTGGATCACGAGGTCAAGAGATCGAGACCATCTTGGTCAACATGAAACCCGTCTCTACTAAAAATACAAAAAATTAGCTGGGCATGGTGGTGCATGCCTGTAATCCCAGCTACTCAGGAGGCTGAGGCAGGAGAATTGCCTGAACCCAGGAGGCGGAGGTTGTGGTGAGCTGAGATTGTGCCATTGCACTCCAGCCTGGGTAACAAGAGCGAAACTCGGTCTCAAAAAAAAAAAAAAAGAAAAAGAAAGAAAGTTCATGCCCATTTGGGAAAGAATCCATATCAAAAATAATTGTAATGGAATTAAACTTTGAAAAGAGGTAAAGGTCTTGCTTTTTACCTGAAATCATTTAAATTAAATATAATGAAAAGTGATCAGGGTGCTTATTTTTACTTCGTTTTGTGGGAAATTGTGCTGGGAATGTGAATCTATTGTACACAAAGGATGTTGGCTTTATGCTGGAACCTAGCAGGTTGAGCTGAGAAACAATTAGCTCAGTCAGCAAGCCTTTGAATCTGATGAAGCCAGGAAGTGGTCACTCCCCAGGACAGGGCAGAATGAAGGGAATCGAGGCAACAATCCAAAGCAAGGAGTAATTTTTTTTCTCTTTCTCTTAAATAAATTGTTATCAGAATTTATTGTGCCAAATTTATGCCAAGGACTATTTGAGTACATTTCACCTTTGGTAAAACAAATAGAATCTTGTTTCCAAGTAGATCAACAGTTCATATGTTTCGTGGCTACTGTCTCTAAGAAACTTCTATTTACTGAGGGCTGTCATACTCTCGTGTTTTGGTAACAAAACATCTTTTGAGACCAAGGCCCCAAGCCACCGAGGAAAATGAAGGGCCTCTACCAGGCTGCTGGCCGGATTCTGGTCACTCTGGGGAGCCTCAGTGTATGCTCTGGAGTCACCGCTTTCTTCCCTGTCTTTTCTTACAAGCCTTGGTTCGCAGGATGGAGTGTTCGGATTGCTTGTCCCGTCTGGAATGGAGCTTTGGTATGAAAATATTTTATTAAATATATTGAAAAAATAAAGGAAGAAGGGAGGGAAAGGGGAAACAGAAGAACATGTCCTTTTAAATTGTCCTAACAATACAAAGAAGTCAAAATTCCACATAAAATCAGAATCTGCCTTGGAACATTGATTTCTGTTAATTGCATTTTAAGTATAAAAATTGTCTTAATAATTGTTTCATCATGTATACGTGTATATTATGTATGTTTAATGGCATGCTGCTCAAGAAATTCTTAAAAAGTTATTTCATTTTAATCCTCTTATCTTGATATGCTAAGAAATTAGAATCCATCTTTTGAGATTTGAATTTTGAATTTAGAAAAAAACATAAACCTTGAAACATAATTTTAAATAGAGAACAAAATAAAATAACTTTCAAACTAATGCTTTCATTACAAGCACTAAGACGTGTGTACATGGCCCCCAAATTTACAAATCCCAGATATTTCCCTTTGCATGCAACTGTTTGAACTGAAAATAATTCAAGAAGAGGGGCGATGTACTTCACAATTCACTAGGAAAGTATGTGTGCCAAGTACAGTGTCTGACACTAAGTGGTACTCAGTGTACGCTCATTGAATCATTGCAGATAAACAATGGCCTGGTCCCTTAGCTCTCCAGACAAAGAAATGAGCACATCTAGCCTTGGGAGTAGCTGGCTTCCATGTTGGTATAATTTAAGAGAAGTTACAGAGAACTACCTGTCCGACAAATCTTTCTCTCACTGATTCCCATGATGCCTGACACCACTGGACACTGGAGAATTTAATTTTGAAGTTTTGATTTTAAAACATATTCTATTAAAATATAGCCACTCTTCTGTGAGATAGCATCTTAAATCTTTAAATAATTAAAACTTTAACTGGGATATCACCTAAACATTAGACCTCAGGAAATATAAGTTTTAATCTACTTATTAGACAACTATTTATGAATAGCCTACTATGTCCTTGAGTTATAACGAAGGAACAAACAAGGTCTTGATCTTAAAGGAACTTGGTCTAGTGGTGTTTGATGAGTATGTGCAGATAGATGAGGCCAGTGGGATGATGGGGGAGTGGATGGAATGAGGAAACCAGAGGGTATGCTTTTCTTTGTCAATACATTAATTTGTATCTATCACCCCAATCTTGATCTTCCCTTCTGTTCTCCAACACCTACCTGAAACCATACATTCATTCAAAGAAATCGTTGCTAAAGTTCTGCTGGAATGCAGCGGCAGCAGTTACATTTATTCAAGTGGCTACCAAACTTGTTTTGGTGACTCGGAGTCAGAAAAATATTTTACGCGAGGACCCAGAATGTTCATAAATACATCTACATTCTTACCTCTAGATAAATAGATATCTACATCTATTATGCATATATACATATAATAGACGTTTATATATCAATAAAACGAAAGTTTCTCAAAACAGTACTTAGCCTCGATGTGAAAGGTATTCTGATATTTTCTGTTTCATTTAATTTTTTTAAAATTCTGATTTCATAAAGTTTAACAATATCATGATTAGAGTTCAACCCCACATTCTTTTATTCCACTCTTTGCCTATCCTTGCAGAGTCTAACATACTCTATTCAACAGGTATTGGTGATTTTGATTAAGATTACAGATGATTGAATGTAAGCATGTTATAGGCCAAACATCTATTTTTACCAGTTAGGACTAGAGATATGATGGGAAGTGTCTCCACCACGTAGCTCATGGGTAACTATCTGATTTCAGGGGTGGCAGCATCAGGCAGTGGAGTCAGAGATAAAGGATTTAGAGAGGCAGACCTGTTTCAAGTCCTGACATTGATGTTCTTGGGAGGAGGCCAAAAACAGGACCCTCAACCAGCCAGTTCCTCATTGCCTTTAACCATAAAATGGGAAATTTTACAGATAAAAAGAGCAGACATGTAAAACTGTCTAACCCTAAGATGCACAGCGAGAATGAACACAATTTAAACAATGATTGTATAATAAAGAGCTTCGCCAATTTTAAAGCCCTCCTCAAATGCTAGTTAATACCATGCCTTTCATGTGTGCCCTACTCTCTGTTCAAGCCCTTTGTTCTTAATCCTGTGTCTCCTGCCTCACTTTCCTATCCTGTTCCTTCATGACCTGCTGAGTTTCCCATCCCGTTACCTCCTGGACTTCCGTCTCCCACCACTCTTCCCTTAGCTCACTTCTCTCCCATCACATCAGCTCCTTGCTGTTTTCAAACATGCCGTGATGTGTTTCTGCCTCAGGGCCTTTGCACTACCTGTCCTCTGCCTAAAGCCTCTTCCTGAACTTAGCTCACTCCCTAGCCTCCTTCAATTCTTGATCAATTCTTTGTAAATGTCACTTTTTTACGGAGGTCTGCTCCCATTACATTATTTAAAATTGTAATACCTGACCCTCAACTGGCACTCCCAATCTCTGATACCCTGCTCTATTTTTTCCCATGACACTTATTAACATATAAGACATTATATAATTTTTAAATTTATTGTTTGGTTCAATAAATCTGAAGAACTTGGAACAGAGAGAATGACATAGTATGTGTTCAATAAATATTGCTCAGTAAGGATTGCTGAATGACTGAATGAATCTCATGCCCTCCATTCTGTTGGTGCAGAATTTCTTATACAGTTGAATACCAATTAGGTTGCAAGGACTAAAGGTCAGGGCAGTGTTTATATCATACTAATGCAGCAAAAAATTCCCATGGGAAGGAAAGTAATACAAATGCTCAGCCTTTCAATAATGTCTAAATTTGGACCAACGTTATTTTTTTTTTTTTCCTAGTGAGTTTCCTACTGAACCACAGTTCTGTCTGATCAGGGTGAACTTCAAATGGACTCTGACTCATTCCACAACCTCCCTTACCAATCACTTCTTTATTTATTTATTTTTTTTTTTGAGATGGAGTTTTGCTCTTGTTACCCAGGCTGGAGTGCAATGGCACAATCTCGGCTCACCACAACCTCTGCCTCCTGGGTTCAAGCAGTTCTCCTGCCTCGGCCTCTTGAGTAGCTGGGATTACAGGCATGCACCAACATCTCTGGCTAATTTTGATTTTTAGTAGAGACACGGGTTCTTCATGTTGGTCAGGCTGGTCTCGAACTCCCAACCTCAGGTGATTGGCCCACCTCGGCCTCCCAAAGTTCTGGGGTTACAGGCTTGAGCCACGGAGCCTGGCCACCAATCACATCTTAATTTGCCTCCAAAGTATATCTTCATCCAGTGACAAGATTTGTACATTTCAATCATATTGGCATTTACTTTGCAGATGACTCCATATTTCTTTGAAGACTTGTAAGAGCCAGATTTTTGCATATGATACAGTATTTTGAATTTGTTCAAAGCCTTTCATTCGAGGCTTTCTAAGTACTTCATAAAGATTGGCCCTCAGACTCCCTAGCTCCATTTTGACATCTATATGACAATCAGTTTTCCTGGCATTTTGGAGCTAGGTTATTTAAAAACATCAGCTGCTAGAAAGTATTCGGTGAGGAGATCGTAGTACCTTAAGGATTAAGCTCAAGCTCTATTAATCCTGGAAAACAAGGCTTGTAGATCAAGTTCTGATGAAAAGACTGAAGTACAATGAGTTTAAACACAGGCCCTGAGGTGCTGGAGATCCCAGTGTCTTGGCCAATGGCAAGCACAGCGCTGCATCCAGAGCCCTGCTTGGAGAAGGGAATTTGGGAGAAAGGTCAGGCTAGACTTCGTTATGCAGGCCCCAGTTTCCCCAACGGTTACAGAAGGGGCTTGATTACATGACCATGCACGTCTCTTACAGCTTCACAGTCACATGACTTCCAACTGCCTGACGGTGTTAAAGAAAAACCGGAGCTGGACAGTTAGCTAAAGCAATAAAAACCGATTTTATGCAGGATGATTGCAATGGGGAAAAAGAGACATCAGTATAGAACGAGGTTTGGTTCCAAGTACAGCATAAGCCAATGGGGATTTATAGCTGAGAAGCAGGGTGAAAGTCAGTGGATGAAAAATTACTAAGGCAATATCAGGGGCAAGGGGGATTCTGGCTCTCCCGACCCAGCCGTTTTCTTGCTGAAGACAGGCCAGGGTGGTCAGACATCACTTCAGGGATCGGGGAGGAGGAGAAACCTGACTAGTTATAGAGCGTGATCAGGTACTGAGGGTAAGGGGGTTCTCGCTAAACTGACTCATCAGCGTTCTTGTGCTCAAAGTGGGTTTTACAAGGTCATACACACACGGGCCTACAGGAGAAGGTTCAGAAACCTGATTAAAGTTTGATCAAGCAAAGAATCTGTCAGTGGTCCATTTTTCCACTTAGCTATCCTAAGCTTCCTCAAGGCCAGCTTGTCTAAAACCAAATTAATCATCTTGTCGCTCAAACCATGTTTTTCTTCTCCAACTTCCCTGTCATTGTCTTGGCAACTCAATTTCAAATCCTGGAGTGATTTCGACTCAACCTGTTCCTCTAAACTAGCTCTTCTCAAACTGTAACGTGCATACGAATCATCAGGTGATCTTGACGAAGGCAGGTTCTAATTCAGCAGGTCTGGGGCGGGGGCTGAGAGTCTGCGTATCTAACCAGCTCCTGGAGGATGCCCTTGTTGCTGGTCCTAGGACCACACTGGGGGCAGCAATGCCCTAAAGCAGCCCAATCCAGCCCCACTCCAATCAGTTGCCATGTAACTTTAATTTTTCCTACAAGGCATAGCCCTCGCCTGCATTCCTTCCTTTTCTGTCTCACTGTGTATCCTCCCACCCCTTACCACTTCCCACCCCGGCTCAAATTTTATGCCTAGATGGCTTTGATAGCCGAACTGTGGGAATCTATCCATTAGTGAATGATAAAATCAATCTATTGAGTAGCTAGCAACATTTACAATGAATAGAATATTCAAATGCATCACACATAATGAGGGTTACATATTATTTTGATCAGATATAAAAATATTTATAACCATGATGTGAAATGTATTAGTTACTGCGGCTAGAGTTGAAAAAACAAATCTAAAAACCAGCGTTCTACAATTACTTCTAGGCCTGTATTCCAACCTCATATGCACACAACTGGCTCGTCTTTCTAAACCTCTTCAGTAGTCAGGCTACAGTTTCTTCAAAAAGCTTCAGCATTGCTTCATTGTCCCTAAACGAAGCCCAGACATGCTAGCCTGCATTGTGCAGCCCTCCTCACCCTGGTATTACCTGGCTTTCAACCCCGATTTCTACTCTTCTCTGCCAGGAACTGACCCTTCCTTCGGTCTGCACTCCACGCTCACTGCTCCCTAAGCAGGACAGCCGCTTCCCCACCTTTGCACACGCCGCTCCCACAGCCTGAGCTGCCCTCCCTCTGGCACCTCCCATTGAACCCAAATCCGTCCTTAAACCCACTTCAGATCCTATTTCTCCATGGTGCCTTCATCATTGGTGTTTCCCCTCTAAGTGATACCTTATTCCTGAGCTCTCCTCATTTAGAAAACATTCATCCTTCTCGCTTAGGGTTGTAGCCCTTGTCGTATGTGCATTAGTTTTACACCTGAACTGACAGTCAGAACCACTACTTGTACAATTACTATCTGGGGATCTTGTTCATCTTACTTAGTCTTTCTGTGCTTCATTTTAAAAGTGGGAGGATATCGACATGACACGGTCATTGTGAGTGAACACATGTGAAGTGATCAGCATATGTTAAGCACTCAGTCCACACATGTGAACCATTATGATTACTTTATCAGCACAGTACCTGGCACATCGCTTTTCTGTAGCAGACTCATAACAGATGCTTGCAAGTGAATAAATTATCCCATATTAATACGGTACCTCTAAACGTTTCTATTTGTTTCTGAGGGCTCCCTGTTTCCTTCAATTCATCGACTTCTGAGAGCTATGTCCTCCACTCAGACAATCTAAAGATTTAGTGGGAGGCCTCACAATTATCATGCAATCAAAGTGTTAGCAGCAGCTGTTGCAAAACCCAACTCATATCCCTGGAAGTGCCTGGAGAGCCAGGCAGCAGCCTGTCAAGAAGAGCCGAGGGAGGCAAGTGCAGGATTCGGGCTTTCTCTTCTTTCCCCGCTCACTGACACACAGCCCTCACTCTCCCCTTCCTCACAACCTGGCCTCCTTTCAGCCAACTATTCCCCCTTCCGACATCCCCTCTCTCACATTTTCTCTTCCCCTTGACTTGTCCTGCTTACTCTCAAATCTCTTCCTTCTTCATTCTTTTCTCCTCCCTATCTAAAAATAAAATTTTCAAAAAGAAACAGAAGAAAGAAAAGACATCTGTGCGTCTCAGGAAAAATAATGCTCTTCTATCTCCCATGTCTGGTGAGGAGCACCAAGAAAGATGGATGTGCTAACCCCCTCAGCTGCCATTCCATTAGCAGGGAAGATTTATCAAGTTACTACAAGAGGCATTCACACTCAGCCTACTCCATGAAAGATCCTTCTCAAAGTTTTATGTAAACAAAGCAAAATTCAAGCTGGCAGCTACAAAAATAACAGGCAACTGAAATTCTGCAGCATTTTTCAACTTTTTGAAAGGAAAGAAACAGCTCATGCCAAGGTAGTTAAGGCAACCTGGAACCTCAGCATCTGAGAATGTCAGCGATCTACTCCGAGTTAAAGCAGCAGAGGGGCGTGAGCCTGACTGCCTTGCTTATCTGGCTTCAGTGTTTCTCTCTCTGACAGAGGAGCGATGTGTCAATTGAGGGCCATGCCTCCCAGAGCAGAGAAAGCCCCAGGCTTACCCCACAGCACCGACGTTACAGTTGCTCTTAATAATTCTTTTGTTTTCTTGTATTATTTATGCTGGCTCACCCTCCATAGGGTCCCTTGGAAACTTTCCTCTTGCAGAATCACGCCAGGAATCTCTTTTGATTACAGATGGTTCTGTTTTTATCCATGGGAGTTTTATGGTATGGCGATGCCAAGTCTGAAATTGTATGCTCAGCTACATGAGGGGTGTGTGTGTGTGTGTGTGTGTGTGTGTGTGTGTGTGTGTTTCCCTCTCAAATTCTCTAAATGCAACGTTCAAAATAAAATATGCCGGGAAAATGAAAAGCTAAGTCTCAAAACAATAAATATACCAGATCCAGCTACTACAAAAGCAGCATGTCACAAAACCATGTTGGTAAAGATGCTGATTTTTTTTCCTCTTTAACTTTGTTGATTGTATATATACAGTCATGCTTATTTCTCTGCCATGCCCTAACTTGTACTATTTTTGGAGCTGTCCATATTCCAGATCTTATTTTAGGTACATCTCTTCCTCTTCCTCTTTCTCTCTCAACCTCAAAAGAGTCATTAACCAAGAACAAATGATTTATGAGGATTGAGAATAAGCTATTTCCAATCTCAGTGACCACAAAGGTCTCCTCCATCAGACCTGGTGCTGAATCAAAGAGCCCAGTAATATTTTTTTTCATTGCCTACTTCTAAATTCTGGTGACACCATTCCCTCTTTCGTTTAACTATTTTCATTCTGCACTCTGGGCCTTTTTTCTTTAACAGAGACTATAAAGAAAAACTCTTTTGAGGCAGGGCGCAGCGGCTCATGCCTGTAATCCTGGCACTTTTGAAGGCCAAGGAGGGCAGATCACAAAGTCAGGAGTTCGAGACCAGCCTGGCCAACATGGTGAAACCGTGTCTCTACTAAAAATACAAAAATTAGCTGGGCTTGGTGACATGCGCCTGTAATCCCAGCTACTCGGGAGGCTGAGGCAGGAGAATCGCTTGAACCCGGGAGGCAGAAGTTGCAGTGAGCCCAGACCATACCACTGCATACCAGCCTGGGTGACAGAGAGAGACTCCATCTCAAAAAAAAGGGAGGGGGGGGAGAAGAAGAAGAAAGAAAGAATAAATCTCCCATCATGCATTCATTCTAATGATAATCTTTGCTATTTGAGGAATAGGGATCAGGTATTTGTATCCTGCCAGCAGGCTGAGGCTGCAGAATCTCAAAAGAAAGCAAAGTGCAAAAGAGAAAGCCACTTCGGGGTTTCATGACAAGTTCCCATTCTGGTTCCTTCCATTTACAGTTTCATCAGTTTGTGAGAAAGGTGAACAATAGACGATTAATCAAAATAAAACATATGGCAGGGGTTATAAAGGCAAGCTATTATTGCAGTGACACCTTAAAGTGGTGGAGCGGATGATTCTGATGGCAGAAGCAACACAGAGAATCAAAATCTGAGCTTGCGTGAATCATGTCTTTATGACACTAATGGCTTACTTTCCTCGTCATCACAGTTTTTTTCCACTGATGAGGAGGAAATCAGAGGCATAAATCCACTGAGTCATTTGCTGTTCCTTCAAGTTCATGATAAAGTTGTCAAACTGTGAGACAGATTGAACTCTTTCCAGAGGTACCTTCTGTGATGGATGTTATTTTTCCATTTTCTTGTCACAGGCCATCACGACTGGTGTGCTTCTACTGCTGGCTTACAGAGCATGGACCCAGAGACACCTGGTAAATATACCGATGGCAAGCAGGATGGGAGAGTGGCTGTGAGGTCAAATCACTGTTAAGTACAGTATGGAACATAAAAAATATTATTTCCAATTAGAATTGAATTTGGTCTACTTGACGCTTACTACAATGGATTTCAGTAATAAACTATGTTTTAAAGGAATAATCTTTTTTTTTTTTTTTTTTTTTTTTGTGGCAGAGTTTTGCTCTGTCGCCCAAGCTGGAGTGCAGCGGCATGATCTCAGCTCGCAGCAACCTCCACCTCCCAGGTTCAAGCAATTCTCTTGTCTCAGCCTCCTGAGTAGCTGGGACTACAAGTGCACACCACCATGCCCAGCTAATTTTTGTATTTCTAGTAGAGATGGGGGTTGCCGTGTTGGTCAGGCTGGTTTCATAACTCCTTCCCTCAGGTGATCCACCCATCTTGGCCTCCCAAAGTGCTGGGATTACAAGTGTGAGCCACCACACCTGGCCATGAATAATCTTTATCTGATCCCTGCTCCAAATATTTTCTACAAGTTCTTGTGACGATTATTGTATTTGGGGAGGACAGAGCCAGTGTGAGTACTCCTAAATTTCATTTGAAGAAATGGAGCTATTGGCTCCTCTACTTTTAGTAATATATTTTTAAGTCTCAACTCCTTAATCTGAGATCTCCTTCCAATCTTCTTGCTACCTCTCCTAAAAAAGGATGAAAAGTCTATGCTATCCTGCATTTCAACAGCATAAAACCAGATCATCCCATGATACAGAAAGACTATGGTATCTGATCATAGATTTTAATTCCCGCTAATGCAGGGCTTCTCAAACTTTAATGTATAAGTAAATCAGCTGGAGATCTGCTTAACATGCAGATTCTGATTCAGTAGATCTGGGTGAGGCCTGAGATTCTGCATGTCTGCCAGGCTCCCAGGGGATGTCAGTGATGCTGGACCATGGACCACACCCTGAGTAGCTGAGAACCTTGAGTAGGGATTTCTTGAGTAGCAAGAACCTTGAGTAGAAATTTTGTTCACTCACCTTTGTTTTTCCCAGCCCAGACCAGATGCCTCCACGTGATGGGAAATACATAAATAAATGCTTGTGAACTAATTTAATGTTTTCCCCCTCTGGCTAGTATATTTTTCTCCTGTGGTATAGACTGAAAATGAAGGGTAGTGGGAGGGAGAGCATCTGGAAGAATAGCTAATGGATGCTGGGTTAATACCAAGGTGATAGGTTGATCTGTGCAGCACATCGCCACGGCTCACCTTTATCTAAATGACAAACCTGCACATCCTGCACATGTATCCTGGAATGTAAGATAAAAGTGAAAAAAAAATGAAGATACAAGGGACGTTTTCAAGGGAAAATGAAAATTAAAGAGAGGATCGTGACCCATTGCTCCTTCATTTTCCAGTAGGAGAAATTCATAGCCAGCATCTCTTTTTTCATTTTCCTCATATTGCTAAGAACCTTTTGAAATAGCTTGTCCCTGAAGTAACGATTTATTTTTGCTTTATTTTCAGTGGGAAGCTACTTTCACCTTTGTGATTTTGAGCATTATGGGATGTCCACTTCACTTTGCAATAGCCTTGGAATCCGCTCTCCTGGGCCCATATTGCTTCTATTCATTTTCAGGGATTGCAGGGACTAATTACCTTGGCTATGCAGTTGCCTTTCCTTATCAATATGCAAAGTTCCCAATAGCCTGTGTGGACCCACCACACTATGAAGAGTACCACCTGACACTTCAAGCCCTCGACCTGTGCCTGAGCTTTGCCCTGCTCTGTACATCCCTGACAGTGTTCATCAAACTTTCTGCAAGACTTATCCAGCATGGACACATAAACGTAAGTTTCAACAAAGGGGGAGCAGATTCTTGTTCCATCCTGTATGCTAAAATGGAAAGTCTGGTATGTGAATACTTGATCTTTCTCTGTTATTTACCACTGTATCCTATATGCTCTTGATATCCAGGTCTGCACATAATAGGTACTCAATACTTGTTTTTGAATTAATAAATGGAAATATGTTGACATTATAACTGAAGTTATGGCTGTAGGTAGCACCAGCCAATTTTTATGTCAATTCACAATTTTAAAAATTATTCACAGGAACAAGACAACAGTGCCCACTCTCACTACTTCTATTCAACATAGTACCAGAAGTCCTAGCCAGAGCAATTAGGCAATAAAAAGAAATTTTAAAAATCCAAGTAAGAAAGAAAGACACAAAATTGACTCTGTTTACAGATGACATGAACTTATATTTAGAAGCCCTTAAAGATTCCATTAAAGAAGTGTAAGAACTGATAAATTCAGTAAAGCTGCAAAATGCAAATTCAATGTACAAAACCAGTTGTTTTTATACACTAACAACAAACAATCCTATCTACAACAACATCAAAAATAATAAAATATTTAAGATAAATTTAACCAAGAATGTGAGAGATCTGCATACTAAAAACTATAAAATATTAGTGAAATAAATTGAACACACAAATAAATAAAAAAGTAACCCATAATCATAAATCAGGAAAATTAACGTTGTTAAAATTTCCATTCTACCCAAAGCAATATATAGACTCAGGGCAATTCCTATCAAAAGTTCAATGGCATTTTTCACGGAAATAGAACACATAATCCTAAATGCGTATAGATCTACAAAAGACCACAAATAGCCAAAGCAATCTTGAGAAAGAACAAAGCTGAGGACAACCCAATTTCAAACTATATTACAAAGCTATAGTAATTAAAAAAGTATTATAGTAACATAAAAACAGACATTTGAACAATGGGCAGATCATAAAGCTCAGAAATAAATTCACATATGAATTTTTGTCCTAAAATATAATGACTGTGTTGTTCAAGAAAGAGGAATATTTAGGACAAAACAGAAAGTCTAAGCCTGTAGTGAGTGCTCTATGTAAGTTGTAATAAGTTTAGTAAAAATAATTAATAGAGACAAGGTTTCACTATGTTGGCCAGACTGGCCTTGAACTCTTGACCTTGTGATCCACCTGCCTCAGCCTTCCAAAGTGCTGGGATTACAGGCATGAGCCACTTCGCCCCACCAAAAGAAATTGTTTTTTAAAAAGGGAGTTGTATAATTCAGTTGGCTATGATTAAGAAGAAATTATAATAGTCTTCCTAGAGATAGGTCTTTAATATTAAAATAATACACTAATACAGAACTAAATAATTAGTTAAAACAAGATTTTATTACAAATATTGACATATTTATTCAAGAAGTTTTAAATTTTTAAATTCTATGACCTGTCTCTTTGACATCCCTCAGATTGATATCTCAAAAGTACAGCCTTTTCTCTTTGAAGGGGGCTTGGATAATAGCTCTCTCCTTCTCTTTTCGTTGGCTCCTGTAACTTTTACCATCTAAAGTAGGAAGGGAAATTTTTTTAAACAAGCAAATAAAATATCCTTTGGAGCCAGGCACAGTAGCTCATGCCTGTAATCCTGGCACTTTGGGAGGCCGATACAGGCGGGTCATTTGAGGTCAGGAGTTCGAAACCAACCTGGCCAACATGGTGAAGCCTCATCTCTACTAAAAATACAAAAAAATTAGCCCAGGCATGATGGCAGGCACCTGTAATTCCAGCTACTCAGGAGTCTGAGGCAGGAGAATCACTTGAATCTGGGAGGCAGAGGTTGCAGTGAACTGAGATCATGCCACTGCACTCCAGCCTGGGCAGCACAGACAGACTCTGTCTCTGTCTCTGTCTCTCTCTCTCTCTCTCTCTCTCTCTCTCTCTCTCTCTATATATATATATATATATATATATATATATATATGCCCTTTGCATACTTATTATATCTATATTATCATATCTATTTATATATATTCATATGTGTCATGTGGAAGTGATACTTCACTTCCAACCTGCATGAAAGAGTTCTAATCAAGTAACTTTTAAAAATTAAGTGCCCATTGGACTGGTAAAAGTTAGCTCAGATGTCATTTAATTCCCATAATTCGGGTAATCTGTGATAAAGTTAATTTGGCAAATTTAATCTGAAAACTCTCTCCAGTAATTAAAACTCTTAAAGTCGTGTTAAACCCTTGGTTTTTATTTTCACTGGAAATTTGGATTGTTAAAAGTTAAAATAGCAGGCTAAATACAGTGGCTCATACCTGTAATCTCAGCACTTTGGGAGGCCAAGGCGGGTGGATCACAAGGTCAAGAGATGGAGAACATCCTGGCCAACATAATGAAACCCCGTCTTTACTAAAAAATACAAAAATTAGCTGAGCGTGGTGGCACACACCTGTAGTCCCAGCTATTTGGGAGGCTGAGGCAGGAGAATTGCTTGAACCCGGGTGGTGGAGATTGCAGTGAGCCAAGATCATCGCTCCACGGCACTCCAGGCTGGTGACAGAGCAAGACTCTGTCTCAAAAAAAAAAAAGTTAGAATAGTGGGAACATAAAATATGTTTTTGGTAAAGTTTATAAAACACAAAGATGTTTATTTTGCTTTATAAAAGAAAAATAGTTTTTTTTCTAATTAAAAACTATTTAATGTTTGCTTTAAAATGAAGGAAAAATTATACAAATAAAACTAGACAATAGGAACAATTATGCCAGGTCAACAAAAGTTAACTCTGAGATATGTGATTACCAAAAATAAAAAAAGTCAATATGGGGGAAGGGGAAAAACCAAGTAACCATTAAAAAGCAGAGTATCTAATGTAAGGGAATTGTTTCATTTCATAGATTGGTATCATCAGCTTCTTAAAAAATCTTTACTATAGTGAATTGTAAAAATCACCACTTTAAGGACAAAACTATTAAATGTAAATGCTACAGAATTTAAGACCTTGTTTGGGTTTATGTAAGACTCATAGCTCACCACTAATCACTAACAAGTATATGTAATCCAAATGCATAAGAGAACGAGCAGCCTAGTAAACTGGATAAATGCCACTGTAAGGTCTGTATGCCCTGAGAAAAGGACTGCCCAATGCTCCCTATAAAATACCAAGTGAAGCAGTGACTATGCTTCATATGCAAGCCACACTGGACTGGCTTTATGATGACTGGGCTATCCTCCCACCAAATACACCCATTACCCAGGTCATGGTAAATTTGGGAGCTAAGGGGACCCCTTTTACATGGGTGCCCCTCCCACAGAATCAGAGGACTGATTAAGAAATCTTATCGAATTTGCTGTCCGTCATATGTATTACAGATCAACTCTCTGCTGGGAACCCAAACCCTTTTTCAACACAAAAGGTAAAATGGTCTGGGAGTAGAAAAAGCCTGGGACCAGAACATAAAAGCATACAGATTAATAGGATTATAAAACTCAAGATGTTTATACAAACTTTATGTAAGTTGAATTCCTTTACCTAAATGTCTTATTAAAATGGGTACTGCATCTAACTGGGATGTTTCCCCTTTCTAGAACTACGAAACTGAAGGAATGTAAACCTGCTCTTTTAGGAAATGGTAATTAAACATGATAAATGGAAACTAGTAAAATCACCTAAGCCCACAAAGTGTAGGGTTGAAGCTGCTGGGCTAGTCTCCAGGAACCCTCCACTGCATAGCCCTTTGTATGGGGCATTTATCGGGGCTGATGGCAAAAGTCATATGGTTTTTGTCAAGGGCTGACAGGTGAAGGAAATGGAGAGAAACTGGTCAATGGATACAAATTTTCTGTTATAAATTGAACTAAATTTATAAAGAATAAATAAAAGTACTCTTGTTATTGAGTACGTTTCAATAACAACCACTGAACTAGAGAATTTCCATTTGATGGGGCATTTATTGCCTTGATATAGAACATTAACAGAAGCTACCCCTATGCTAATGGAAATAATGGTGCCCAAAAGAGTTCCATGATAAAATAAAAATGTTTTACACAAAAAAAGAAATAAACCTACACATATGAATCGAGTAATATTTGACAAGGGTGTCAGGAATGCACAGTGAGGAAATGACAGTCTTTAATAAATGGTGTTAGGAAAATTGGATATCTACATGCAAAAGAGTGAACTTGGACCCCGATCTTAGGCCACTCAAAGAAATTAACTTGAAATGATTGAAGACTTAAATGTAAGATCTTAAGCTGTTAAACTACTGGAAGGAAGCATAGGTATAAAGCTCCATGACATTTGTCTTGGCAATGCTTTTTTTGGATACGATACGAAAAGCACATGCTACAAAAGCATAAATAAACATTGGGACCACAGCAAAGAAACCAATCAACAAAATAAAAAAGCAGCCTACAGAATGGGAGCAAGCATTTGCAAACCATACACAAGACAAGGGATTCACATCCAAAATATATAAGGAACTCATACAACTCAATAGCAGGAAATAAATAATCTGATTTTGAAATGGGCAAATGACCCGAATCGACATTTTCCAAAGAAGACATACAAGCGGCCAACGGGTACACAAAAAGGTGTCGAGAAGAAGGTCTGCAGCGTTACAAATTATCAGGGAAATTCAAATCAAAACCACAATGAAACATCGCCTCACACCTGTTAAAATGGCTATTATCAACAGGATAAGAGAAAGCAAGTGTTGGTGAGGATGTGGGGAAAAGAGAATCCTTGTGCACTGTTGGTGGGAATATAAATTGGCACAGCCATGATTGCAAACAGTATAAAGGCGTCTCCAAAAATTAAAAATAGAAATACTACACATCCAGCAACGCTACCTCTGACAGTATAACTGAGGGAAACAAAAACATATCCCAAGGAGATATCTGCACTCTCATGTCTGCTGCAGCATTATCCACAACAGACAAGACATGGAAACAATCCAAGTGTTCAGCAGATGGACAGATGAAGAAAACATACACAATGAGGCCGGGCGCGGTGGCTC